CTCCCCTCAGGCATGGTGGTGGCGCTGGCTGTGCCTGAAAGTGTCTGCCCCTCGCTGCTGTTGCTCCTGACACTTGGCGATGGTAGGCCAGCAGGTTTAGAGGATGGCCCTGCATCCAGGGACTCCGGCTGAGTCCCTGCACTGGCTGCCCCTTTTGCTGCCCTTTGCCTAGTGGCAAAGGAATAGCAGGGGGGCTCGGTGGCTGTGGGCCCCAGGATGTGAGCTAGATCCTCATAGTGGGGCATGGTGGTACACCCCACTCCTGACTGCCAGTTGGCATCATGGACAGCAGTAAATTGCCACTGCAATGCCTTGGCCTTAGTGTGGCACTGCTGCCACATCTTACAGTGCCCCCACTCTGCAATCTGGGCAGCTATCACTCAATAGATATGTTCATTATGGTGACCTGCTCCAAACTGCTGGAGTGTGTCCTTCTGGCCCTAAATGGTCAAGTGGTTGGCCACCTCCTCTGCCATTCAGGTGGATTCCCAGTGCTGGCCCTGTGCCAAGGTCCCACCAGTTGCCTCACTGGCAGGGATCCTCAGGTTTTCTGTGTATAAATTTCAAAACCTCAGCTTAACAAATTCTAATAGCATGTATTAGAAAGCAAACCCCCAAACCCCATGAATTTCCTCAAGTAAACTGGAACCCCACTTTATACACATATATATAAAGGACAGCGAGCAAGAGAGAAAAAAAAGCTGGGCAGTGTTTAATGACATCTGGACAATTTTATGTGGTGGGGGGTGGGTGGGGAGAGACAGCCACATGTGCGCCCCTGCCCCCTTCCCACAAGCCCTGCAACTGCCGGCGTCAGGCAGTCCCAGGATCCTCACAGCACTAGCTGCCTGCTGCTGCTGGAGTCTCACAGTGGCTCCAGCTGCCACCTGAGTTCACCTGTTGCACGTGGTGCATGCCCGCAGGGCCCAGCTGTGTCACTGTAGGGTTGGGGGGTTCTTGGCAGTGGGGTTGGTGCCCCCCCTGCCCCACTCCCACCCCTGCTGCACAGATCTCCAAAGTTGCTTGCAAAAGGCAGCTGCGGGACCGCCCCTGTGCTGGCTGCCATCTCCTGGCAGAGTCAGCCAGCAGCACCCTCCTGCTTGTGTTTCACATTTACAAGTGGCACATGCTGGCGGGGCCTGGCTGCACCATGTGTAAGTTT